GGGTTAGGGCGTAGGGTTTAGGGGGTTCAGATGCCCGGTTAAACCGCGCAAGTCGTTTAGCAACGAGCGCAAACGTCCGTCGAACACAGCTTATGCATCGGCAGAGGTGGTTTGCCACATGGCCACACCAGTGACCGCAGTCTCTAGTTTCTTGCGTCTAGGTCTCTAGGTCCTCCAAGTACTCTCTACAGAACTCAAGCACACTCTCCTCCAACCACACTTATGTTTAGTGGAGTCGGACACTCCATATAAAGTCCTAAGACCCGTTGCAGCCACTATCGCTTGTCACGACAAGTAAGGAACTCTGAAAAGTCGGTTTCAAGGATTCCAAAACCCAACTCTGTAATGTAGGGGCCTTAATAATTAGAATAGGGTTTTGGGGTATATTACAATATACTTATAATAAGAAGGACCCTCCAAAATAACACGGGTAATTATTAAGGCCCCCCATATTCACCTCGGAGCCGATGACCCACAGCACTCGAAAACGCGAAAATCCACAGCTCATTGAACCCGGTTTAGGGTTTAGGGTTTAGGGTCTATAGGGTTTAGAGTTTAGGGTTTAGGGTTTGGGATTTAGGGTTTAGGTTTAGGGTTTAGGGCTAGGGTTTATAGGGTTTAGGGTTTAGGTCATTGGGGCCCAGGCAGCCAGGGAAGTACTCCGGAGCGGCCCTCCAGGGCCCCGCGCAGCACCTGATCGGTTGAGGGTTTGTGTATTCTTTCTGGTGCGGCTTATGGGCTTCATAAGGTTTATGGGCTTTATAGGGTTCGTGAGACTTACAAGGTTTCTAGGACTTCTGAGGATTATGAGGCTCGTAGGATTTCAAGGATTGAAATATAGGGTATAGGGTCTAGGGTCTAGGACCTGTCGGGCTAGATCGCTTTAAGGACGTCTGCCGGGGAGGCAAATGGCTGTATTAAGAGTTTGTTGAACCATAGGGGCTTTGTGGTTGCCGTTTAGGCCTTCGTTTTTCAAGTCATAACCCAGGACACTCATTGAGGCAGCTGCACGTGCAGGATTAGTAAGTAAGTTGCAATTGAACTGCAGGTGGATCTTACTTGCAGATGCACATCTGATGACCTGCTGACGAAGTCCCACTATCCTCGCCCAACTACTTGGCGCCAGGGTGATCCTGGTAGTACATGGGGCTTATGGCGTAACGGGCTCGGAAGCTTTCGTACAATCTACATTGGTGCATCCGATCATAAGTACATGTAAGTACCCTAAACGAGTCTGTCATCACGAAGCGTACTTGGGGTCTGAGACCAAACCGTGGTTCGTGTTCATCACTGTGAATTACTGTACAGAACATCTGCAACACAACAATTAGCATCTCGGGGCTTCAGGGCTCCGAGCCTTGGGTGCAGCTTCCGCAAATAGGAGTTTGTGCTTTGCAGCCTCGGGGTGTTGGTGACACCTGATTCAATCTGGGCTGCAACTCACACTGTCAACCTGAACAAGCTGAGGAAGCACGGGTACCAACAGAAACACAGATGTATCGACAACAGCATGACTCAGCGAAGAACGACTAAACCGTAGCCCCAAAATCAGGCTGCTTGGAGAATGGTCAAGTTGCGCATGCAGCAGCCACTGCATGCTGTTATGTAGAAGCTAAACAGGCCCACAGCCTCTCACTGTGTAGGCTAGCTGCAAATAACTTCTCAATGGCCCGACCTGGGTGAACAAGAAGCATGCTAATTAGGCCACGCGCATGCTGTTTAGCTGTCAACTGCTACGTGCGAGAGGAAAGAAAGCCTTCAAACTCCATGATGTCGTGCTCCACATAGCTTAAGCCAACCTTGTCGAGGTACGCCACCTCCGCAGTCTGCGAAGCCCCGAGCCCAGTATTCTTTCGAGCTTCATGCCTCGCCCTCTCGTTGGCGAGCAGCTCCCAAGGCAGCTTGCCCTTGCCCTTGCTGTCCTCAAAGTAGAAGACGTGGAGTGTTTGGTGCAACTCGGCCGCCCGGTCCACGTTCTGCTTCCATTCTTCAAACCATTGACACCCCCAGGGGGCCCTGTATTGATTCTCGATGCAGCGGAATTCGGCATCTTGCAAAGCCTCGGCAAGTTCCTCTTCCCACTCTATATCTCCTTGACTTTGCTTTATCAGCAGTCGCTGGCCCATTGCTTCGGCATCCGCTCTTTTGAAGGCAAGCGTCTGGTCCTGGTTTTGAGACTCGTCGGTACTGATCTCCACCACACTGAGGTACGCAGCGGCGGGTACCGGACCATAGATTTGACGGCACCAGCACTTGCCAGGAGTGTCTGGGTTTTTTGCATGTCGACCCAAGCCAGAAGCTGTGTCTGTCAAGAATACACAAGCAAGTGAGAAGGTGTCCTCCTGGGTAACACTTCAAACAGCCCTGTCCCAGAGGTCACTGTATTTTCCCGGGAAAGATACAACGCAGTCCGCTGCACTCTGGCTGATGTGCCCTGGAAAGGCAACACGTGCGGAAGCCAAACCAAAACCTGACGACTCGGCAAGCTTCTGCAAAGCCTCCAGATTCATCGGCACGGTACCGACCATGCCGCTGAGCAAGAGGACATTGAAGACTTGGAAGGACACATCAAGAGTCAAAAGTGTGAGCGGCAAAAACTCTCCTGGCAAGAACGCGAACATGCCGACAAAACTCAAAGCAGGGCCTAGGGGGACCAAGCAAGCATTTGCATACAGAAGGCATGCCGTCCACCACATGGGATCATTGCCTCTTGCTTGCTCCATAGCTCTGCTTGCTGCACGGCATAGAGCCCAACACTGGATTGCCAAGACTGTAAAGCAGCAGCAGCACCAAGTGCGTATGCACAGATTGGCGATTGCTCTCGGGTCCATGACTACGAGCCAACAGTACAGGTTGTTCAGCAGGAACACAGCAAGCGAACAAATGCCAAGTGTTGTGAGAACTCCACACCAGTGGGCTGTCCGATGCCAGCGGAGAGCTCGCAGCTTGAGGATGGTCATATACACCTGCAGGACGTTGCAAAGGACCTCCCAGCAAAGCATTGATACATTACTCGGCCATTTTTCCCGAAAGAAATAAATCAACAGGTGCTCCACGCTCTCGTCACTCAGGGGCAGCGAGAGGCAACACATCGTGATGAAACTGAGAAGCTGTAGCTGGTTGCTCCAGGAGAACCGGTCAAGCCTATGGACAAACATGTAGAGCCCACAGCCAGTCACGAGGGGCCGACAGATAGCGTCGCAAACCTTATGGAAATCGACATGATACTCTGGCGTCTTCCGATACCCATACTCAACCGGCTCCCAGACTTCTCTCTCTGTGAATTGAAGGTTAAGAATGATACGTGCTAAGGTGTAGAAGACCAGCGCCACCTTTGCTCGCCAACGCCATCGAGGCTGCTGTTCCAGATCCTCCAAATCCTGTCTCATGTCTGCCAGACTGCTTCTTCTTCTCGAGTCTCGAGCAAAGTCCTCATCACCTGGGGTTTGTACAAGCATCTGCGTGGCATGCTCATTGCCACGTCTCAAGGCCAACTCCACACCTTCGTTCCCAGAGGCGTGGGCGGTGGGCATGGCTCTGCCGCAGCCGGAGGAGCTCTAAGAATCACCCTCTCGTTGTCATCTCCCTATCAGAAAACTGATGGCAAATATATTCTGCTCGAGCCATTGGGGTGAGGAGCCTTAGCAGAAGGCGATGTCAGATCATGCGCACTCCTAAAAATGGAATTTGCGAGCGGAGCCCTCTTTGCAGGGTCCTGTTAGAGCTCTGAAGTGTATGCACTATACATAGTATATACGTCTGAGGCGCGGAAGGAGGTCCCCAAAATCCACAACACGGATGGTCATTTGGGGCCAGATTCCAGTTGGTAGTGCATTGATGGCCTCTTCAGAGTACCCCGAGCTCGCGGGGCACCAACGCCCATCATCTATGGACGGACCCTAAACCCTAAACGCTAAACCCTAAACCCTAAACCCTAAACCCTACCATCGAGAGCATCAGGTTATAGGCAGCTCTCTGCTCGGGTTGTAAGACTCATAGCTAAAACTTGCCTGACTCGACCTTTCAACTATTCACCCTACCTACCCTAAACCCTAAACCCTAAACCCTAAACCCTAAACCCTAAACCCTAAACCCTCGACATCCCCAAGTCTCTTACGTAACCGATCTGCACTAATGGATCTGGGAGTCCCAGCCTGCGGGAAGGAGTTGTACGACCTGGGAGATCTCGTCTCAAGGCTTACCCTAAACCCTAAAACCCTAAACGGTTTAAGGGGCATCAGTGCTATGGGAAGCATCGGGATTCTTCGGATCTACACTGTGTGGGTTTGAGGGTTTAGGGTTTAGGGTTTAGGGTTTGTGGCCCTAGCGGTTGAGATCTTCCAGGAATTGGCGAAGTTGGTGATTGATGGAGGTCGGAGTGGCATGCGCAAAGCTTGTCGGAGTCGGGGGGTCTACCCTAAACCCTAAACCCTAAACCCTAAACCCCTAAACCCTTGGTTAGGTCTGACCTTGCCTGTTTCATAGGAGGATTTTAGGGCTTGGGCTCTCAGGCTCTCTGGTCAACAGGTCAATGGTTTAGGGTTTAGGGTTTAGGGTTTAGGGTGTCAAAGAGATGAAAGAACTTTGGGCTACTGAAATACCCTGGGCAACGCCCCTTCGATTCTTTGGCCCAAAGTGCACGCTGAGACCCTGTATGCAAACCTTATACCCCACTTAAAGGCTCCGGGGACTTGCCAACTAGCTTATAAGTGGGCATTGAAGAAGGATATACACCCAAGTATGGTGCGTATGACCCCCCAATTCTCATGCTCCCCTCCCAATTACAACGAAGTCCCCCAAAACCAAGGCCCCAGACCCTGAACTCCTAGAGCCCTAAACCCCTAAAACCTATGCCCTAAACAACCCTAAAGCCCTAAAGCCCTGAAGCCCTAAAACCCCTAAGCGTTTTGCGTCACGTTCGTCTCCCAGCCAATGCTAAGACAGACCCAAAACCTGGAGGACCGTCATGCTTCAGGGTTTAGGCTTTAGGGCTTAGGGGGACCATTACACCCCAAGCCACCACACCGCCAAAGGAAATCACGGCTTTTGCTGTCGGCAGGCTTGTAGGGGTTTTCCTGAGATCCCCCAGTCCCAATCCTCTCTTCTAGAAACTTTTGGGGTCTAGGGCTTTGGGTCTAGGATTTAGGGTTTGGGGGTTAGGGTTATTCTAGAAGCTTTTGGGGTGTAGGGCTTCGGGCTTAGGGCTTAGGGTTTCGGGTTTAGGGCTTAGGGTTCTTCTAGAAGCTAAAGAGGCTTGCAACAGCCGGCTCACAGCCTACAACATCCGAAGAAAATCCTTTGTCTGCGGAGAAATTTCTACAGACACCCGGAACGTGCATGTAATAGGTCGGCGAAGCCCAGAATCAAAAAATGGGTCGCCTTTTGGTGCTATGTGATTCCATAGTGGTAGTACATAAGGTTGCAGCCCAGTACTCATGGGGACGCGTTAGCCAAAAGTTCCTGCTCTGACGGCTGGACGATTGCCCTTGAAGCCCAAGTCTCGAAGCCTATGTTCACCCTGGCCCAAAATCCCCCACCCGTTCCAAACCTGAACCCCGCAGCTGTGCATCCCGAGCCCTACATGCCCAAACCCCGAGCCCAATGGCATTCTCCACTTGACAGTCTGCTCTTGGAGCAATGAGTTTCCAACTTTAAGACAGTACGCCGGACCGCAAAACCCTGATCCCAACACTCTGACCCCCAAACTGGAACCGTTGGTAAAGGGGCTAAATACCTTAGCCCATAAAGGGCTACTGTAATTTAGGAGCCCGAAATAGTTTGAAACACTATTTCTAGAACTTCTAGACCCCCAAAACCCGAAACCCTAGAACCCTAAACCCTTAAAACTTAAACCCTATTCTACTTATATACTACAAATCCCCCAAAACCCGAAACCCTAGAAACCTGAAACCTTAAACCCTATTTACTTATATACTACTAAACCCCCGAAAACCCGAAACCCTAGAACCCTATTCACTTAAAAACCCTAAACCCTAAACCCTAAACCCTTAAACCCTATTCTACTTACTACATATGGGTAGTTCTCTAAATTAGGGTCCCTTTTGGGGTACCCTAAATACTAGGTGCCGTATTATAATAAGGACCCCAAAAGGGACCATAATTTTGACAACCACCCATATGAAATCTCTTTCAGGCATCGGCCGGGAGTGCTTTCGCAGCTGATGCATCAGAAGGGCCAGAGCCTGAACAGAGCTTTGGATAAGATCTTACGGGGGCTGCTTAGGGTTTAGGGTTTAGGGTTTAGGGTTTAGGGTTTAGCTTACGGAGGCTGCGTAGCGGTGTCTGGCATTCTGGGGTAATCACAGGGTTTAGGAGCACGGACAAGGCCCCTTAGCCAGCACTTGTTTCGGCCGCAGCTGTCAAACGGGAAGAGTTCAACTGTTCCAACCACCCTCTGTTACAAGGGTTTCGAATTAGTAAAGGGTTTGGGGTGAAGGGTTCTACAAAACCCTAAACCCTAAACCCTAGTTCTACAGCCCAAACCCTGAATCCAAAAACCCTAAACCCTAAATAAACCCTAAACCCTAGTTCTACAGCCCAAACCCTGGATCTAAAAGCCCGAACCGCGACACCCTAAACTCTAGTTCTACAGCCCCAAAACCCTGAATCTAAAAACCCAAACCGCGATACCCAAAGGGCCTCCATTAGGTTTCTCATAGGGTTTAGGGTTTAGGGTTTAGGGATCCTAGGCTTCCTTTAAAGGGTACTGTATAGGGACCGCGACACCCAAAGGTCCAAAGGGCCTCCATTAGGTTCCGATTGCCCGGCCGCAGGCGCCAGACCCTGGAATGGTGCGGTCTTTAGGGTTTCCTGGGGGTAGGGTTTAGGGTTTAGGGGGTTGGGTTTAGGGTTTAGGGTTTGGGGGTAGGGTTTAGGAGGTATAGGGTTTAGGGTTTAGGGTTTGGGGGGGTAGGGTTTAGGGTTTAGGAGGTAGGGTTTAGGGTTTAGGGTTTGGGGGTAGGGTGTAGGGGTTTAGGGTTTAGGCCTAGGGTTTAGGGGGTAGGGTTTAGGGTTTGGGAGGTAGGGTTTAGGGTTTCAAAGGGCTTCGGCTTCGGGATATCGGGGGTTCAGGGTTTGGGCTTCGGTGCTTTGGATTGAAGGCTCTGTGTTTTGAGCCCCGCCCTAAACCCTAAGCCCAAACCCTAAACCGTTGTAGGTACCCTTGAAGGAACCCCGAGGCGGAGGTGTGGGTACGTGGCATGTTGGTAGTTCTCTAAATTAGGGTCCCTCTTAGGTCACAATATAGTACGGCACCCTTATAAACAGGACCCTAAAAGGAACTTTGATTTAGAGAACTACCGATTTAAAGAAAGCCCTAAACCCTAAACCCCGAAACCCTAATTTAGAGAACTACCCATGTGGCTTTGGCGCTTTCGGTTTAGGCTTTCGGGGGCTCAGATTTGTGGCTTTCGGGCTGCCTGCCTGGAGGTCGCTTTAGGCTTTAGGGTTTTTTGTTTAGGGTCTAGGGTTTAGGGTTTTGAGTTTAGGGTCCAGAGACTCGAAGATCCCTGGATTCAGGACTCGGAGCCCAAAACCCCGTTCTAATTATAAAGGCCCCTACATACGAAGTGGGCCTGAATAACTAGAAGAAGGTTTTGGGCTCCTATATGGTATCGTTATATTAAGGAGCCCTTAGGAATAATATAGGTAATTATCTAGGATTCTATGGGACTTAAAGCCCCTAAGCTTCATTTTCGGAACCCTGTGGCGGGATTCCAAACGATCAAACAGATCTGCAGTTGGTGCAGCTGTTTTGGGTTTAGGGTTTAGGGTTTAGGGTTGGCAGCACCTCCCAGCTTTTCAGGGAACTGCTGTGATTTGAGCCCTGGCTGCTTGCTTAGTTGAGAGTTTGTTGCTTGGGGTTTCGGGCTTTAGCTTTGGTTGGGTTTAGGGCCAAACACTGAACACCCGAAGCCCAACTAGGTTGGCCCTATGATAGCCTTTGAACAATATTATGCCGGCGTAGACCCCAAACAGTGAGGAGGGCCAGAAGAGGCCAAAGGAGGCCAGAAGGGAATTCGTGCGAATTAGGGCTCGCAGGGTTTAAGGTTCAATGCTCAGAGGGTTTAATCAATGGCGTTGTCGAGTGCGCGCTGGGAGAGTCGAAGGGAGGCAATCTTCAGGTGCTTAATGGCTTCGCCAGCTTTTCTTTGGTCACCGGGCACGCCCACAAAAGGCCAGAAGAGGCGAGGAGGCCGGAATTCGTGCGAAACCACGGCGGAAGCGTCGAAACGAAGGTCGCGCCCCACCGCCGCGTGCGCCGTTGCGGCCCGCAACCAATTCCCTTTACTCCGAACGTGAGAACCCCCTAGTGCAAGCACTGTTTGGGGAACTCGTAAAGAAGATCCTCTTATGCCCAACAAGGGAAACTATGCAATGTCCCAAAGCCTACCTAGCCAATGCACCTCAAAACCCAAAACCCCAAACCCTTAAACCCAAAACCCCTAAACCCCAAACCCCCAAAAACCCTAAGCCCAACGCCCCAAAACCCTAAACCCGAAACCCCTAAACC